TCGTTGAAATGTCAACATCGCCCAAGACTCGCGCCTGGATTATCCCCACCTGAAAAGATCGACGAGATCTCTCGCGATCCGCGATCGATATCGCGTCGCGAGCGTCGCAACCGCGAGGAATCGCGGATCACGCGTTCATTTCGCACGCTAGCGGTGGAATGGCGTGGACCGGCCTGCTTTTCCAGCGACACACCGGATTCCATCCCCCCAACCGGCCTCCACCTCCGCGAATATATCAAAGTTCATGCGTTTCTACCTAATATCATTCGCGTGCACACCCTTCGCCCCTCCTAGCCACTTGCCAGGGCAACCGAGTCGCCGGTTTACGTGCCTGCAATCCACTCCCGACCCCCCGCCGACCCCCTCCTCCACACCCGGCTCGCGTTTCCCTGATCTTTATTCATTCTTTCGCCTCGCCCATTTCAATTTTTCTACAGTTTAGCCCGTGGAAAAGTCCTGCCTCGCCCCAACGGCCACGGGAACCCGGCTACGCGCGCGTGCCCGATAAATTCTTTCAGCCAGTCCTAATGTTTAGCCTTTATGGCTCGCCAGCCGCCGGTTTAAGCATCTCTTCGAGAAGGGTTACGTCGCGGAGCGTTATCCTGATTTCCAAGCAGTCGTCCCGAGGTTTCGGATTTAAACCACTACTCGTGGATGTTTGTTTTATATGTACTAGGTGAAAGTGTTATATTTTTTATTTATTTTTTATCTTTTCTTTTTTTTTTGTTATTATCAGAGTACTTGGTTGCTACGTTCACTCTTAGCTTTCTCTAGGACACGTGTGGAGAAAGGCAGTGGCATTCGAAGGTTCTGTATCGAAGGAAATGATTTAACAGTGATTTAACGTTACTATTTTTATGATTTTGTTTTATTGTCATATTTTGTTTCATACATTTTTGTATATACATTGTATCGTATTAATATTTTCTCCTCCACGCTAATGTGAATTTACCCCGTTTAATAATAAATAAAATATTACGTAATTAATTATCTGTCAATATATTTACGTGTATAGTAGCTGTATTCATTTTCCGACTTATATTAACGAGCAGGAAAGACCTAAATAATAAATCGTGTATTATCAATGTCCGGATGCTAGCTGACAATTTACGACAAACAACTGAACCCATGGAATCCAAGGGAAAACCCTTGGATGGTGGAGAGTTTCCCGAAAAAAGGAGGAAATCCCTAGCAGGAGAGATGCTTGTATTATATACCATTTATACAAGTAACAGCCGGCCCTCTCTTAATATTATCCATCCATTATTCATCCCGGATCACGATGGGAATCTTTCGAGATCGCATTCGCGGAGGCGGTAAGGAACGTTCCGATTCAGATTCAAATGCTCATAGATCCCGCTGTAGATCCACGGCCATCCTGTGGCCCATTGTATTTATTGGCAGAATGCACGTTCACGCGAGTCCACGCACCGCTTGTACCGACTGTTTCCCTCGAATCGAGATTCCCTGGTTGATCTTCCGGGGAAAGTACTCCGTCGACTCCTTCTCGTTCCCCTTTCCACACTTCCATTCCTCCTGTCTTTGCGGGTTAGAACGGAATCGACCGGTTCTCCGCGCTTTCGACAGATTTTCCGGGAAAGAGATAGAGATTCGGCCGACCTTGGATCCTCGGGATACGTGATCCGAAATGGCGGATCTCGGTGATCACGCGTGATGCATGGTACGCGTGACTAGTTTCCGTGATCTTGGAGTATGTTTCCAATGATCGTGGATTTTATGTTTCCTATTTCATCGAGAGAATAATATTGACAATTGAAAGATTTATAAGGAATTATGGGAATATATTAACCTTAACCGTTTGAGTCCCAAGCAGCGTGATCGCGATCATCAGTCGAAGACGCGCGCTCAACTTTGTTGAAGCACCTAACTACTTACGTCACATAGCATCAACAAGCGCTATCGCGACGATTGGGATTTTTCGACATAAAATTAAACAAACGCTATCGCGCCGTTTGGACTTCTTCGCACTTGATTATCCGTTTAAGTCCCAAGCAGCGCGATCGCGCTCTTCAGATTTCATGTCGAGAAAACCTAACAAATTTCGAGCGTTCTGTTGACGGTGCGTTACCGACAGTCAAAGTCGAGGCGCCATCGCGCCACTTCGGATTCATCCACATAAAATAAACGAAGGACTATCGCGCCGCTTGGAATTTCTCGACATAAAATAGAAGAAACGCTATCGCGCTGCTTAGGTCTTCTTGTACTCAGAGAAAGCGCGATTGCGCTGTTCGGGATACTTCGATAGTGTTTTTTCAAAACCTTCTGGGACTCAAACGGTTAAGGTAAGCGGGGTTTTTTCGACCGTGTTCTTCCAAAAGCCTCTGGGACTCAAACGGTAAATATATTATATATCGGAATGGTATATATGTAGCATGGGATTGGTCTGAGTGATACAGTACGCACTTAAAATTGGACCCCAAAAGTGGGGAAGCTTTCCGAATAATTTAAGGTATTTAACAGAAGATAGGGTGATTTACCCCACATCTTAGATTCCAAAAATCCTGATCTTTAAAAAAAGGAAAAGAAAATAAAAGCATCTCCGGGATATTAAATCGCGATCTTCCCTCTCCAGTATATTTACATTTTGAAACACGAAATTCGTAAAGGGGGTGGTATGATATCGCGACACGGAATGCCATCATTATCAACGACGTCATATCGTCCATAATCGACAGCGCCCCTTCGCGCAACAATTTAAAACTGAATCGCATCGTTCGAACCACCATTCCAGGTCCTACCACTTCTCGAAACCTAACCCACCACCCAAAATAACCTAAAATCTCAAAAACCTCCCTCTCGCGCGAAAAAAAGAACGGAAAGGAAGAAATGGAAAAAACGGCACGATCTGGCAGATATTAAATCGAAGAGGGAAGCAAGAGGAGGCAGCTCGCGATCTCCTTCCCCGACGTATTTGTATTTTAAAGCACAAAAGACGCGAAAGGGGATGATACGAGATCGAAGCGCGGAGCAGCGCGGGGGTGGTGGCTCTCCGGTATAAGGGTGGTCGCGAACAGAATGGTGGGGCGTCCTCCCTCTCGCATTCTCTCTCTCTCTCTCCCTCTCTTCATCTTCCAGCCACCCTATCCCCGTCTCCCTTCCACTCGCTGTGGAAGGATGCAAAGGTGTGGGGTTGGGTTTCAACCATGATTTCCATTCGCCAGCCATCCATCTTGTTTGAGACTGGAAACTGACAGATAGACGCGGATCCGAGTGCCGGTGACGTGGCAAGTCTTGCACGACTATGCGGACGCCGCGCGTCGGTGCGCGCGCGCGCAAACTCGTGCATGTTTCGCGCGCCACGCTGCAAGTGTACACGCGAGAACGTCGAGCACCGGGCAACTTCCGTATCCGCGTGAAAAATTCATTTTCGACGACATTAGCGTCGCAAGAAATTCCACTTCCTTTCTGTCCGACGCCAGCCTCCTCGCTGTCCATCCACGCCGATTGACGCGTCGGCCTGCGCTTCCTCGCAGCAATTTCTTCAGAGAAACCTCCGAATCTGCTAGTGATACGAACGATCGAGATGTTCGGAGTGTCTGAAGAATGATTCGCGACTTTTTCCCTCAATTTCGTCCAATTTTGTCGCGTTGCTTTGGTCAAGCTCAGATGCAATTAGGGTTCAAGGTGGTTTAGATAGAGGATTGTTGAATTTTACGCTTGCTAATTATTTTCAATAATTTTCTGAGAAGGGTTTAGGAATCTGTATTATAGGTAGGACACCTACGTGCTTCTATTTCATTACGAGAGTTTCGAATGGACCTTGGATTAGAAGAAAATGAGATTTAATTTGGCTTGCGATTAGGAGAAATTAGAAATCACTGTAATTGTTAATTTAAGATGCATTGAATTAACGCGCATGCAGAATTTTTAATGAAAATTCATTCCTAGTCTTCTCCTTTTATTAGGAGAAATTAAAAATTGTGGGAGTATACGAGTATATAGGTATATTAATAAAGATTGTTGAGAAGAACCATATTTCCACTCTGAGTTCTAACATAAATGACTGGAAATTGTAATTTGCGGTGCATTCAATTAATGTTGAATGCGATCATTTCATCCTACTCTTGTCTATTTATTAAAGATGAATTTTCTGCTCTGATTAATCCACAAGACTAATTCGACTCAGGGAAAATTAAAGGTAGTGGATTTTAATTTGCACGATATTGAATTAACCTTAACTACAGAACTTTCTTATTTACTTTTTAAATAAATATTGTAAATATTCCAATCTGGTAAAGATTTATTGAAACCAATTTACGTTGAATAAAAGATCGGAGATTTTAATTCAGCAAGCATTCAAATTTGTATTCACACGCTTATACGTATTACATCGACACGGGACATATTGTGGGTTATTTACATACATATATACTCTCGCAAATACCATGTTATCGCATAGTATCTTTACATTCCGATCAATCGTTTAAATACATTTCCGGTTATAATTAACCAGGTCCGACGAAAGTGTTCTTAAGTATGGAATAATTAACGTTTTCCCTTACTCAAAGTCAGCATCGACACGTAGGTAGGATAAAATCGAAGGTGCGTCGCTGCTTAACTGTAAACCCCCCTCGTGTGCCGTTACTTCTTCGTATTCCTCGCGTAAACGTTCATTGTTTCGCGTGGTGTAATTATCGTTCGCTAACTAACAAGTACAACCGAGGCCGTAACGGCCGCCATTCTACGTACTACATTGTCCATGCCTTACATCGTATCGCAAACCATCGACGCTACAATTTAATTTCCGAACAAATTATCAACCCTTCATTTCCATTTTATCTCTTCGACATTTTTCCTAGAATAACCTACGAGTCTAGACAATCTTGCAACTCGACAATGTTAATTTCTCCATCAGACAGGACTAAGACTTAAATGCAAAATGAACATAACCTATAAACTAGCGCAAAATTACTCTAAAGAACTTATCATAGAAGTACGATACTATTCCCTCATAAAGCAATCAGAGTATTCCTAAGACCTCACAAACTCATCAGATCTGACGGCAGTTCCTGGAAATCTAGACAGACGCTGTTACGGATAACCTCGTCCAGACTCTTGTTCAGAGTGTTGGTACTGAGCTCGCAAGCATTCTCGTTCATCCAACAATTCAGATCCGTGAACAACGACAAATTGGTCGAATTCTCTTGCGCGTTGGTTTCCAAGTTCGGTTTGTATACTTGAGAATTATTGTCCGTGAACGCTGAAGAATTCGAGGACAGAGCGTAGGAGTTGTACACGTAGCCGTCTGCCTGACGAGAACCCTGAAACTCGTCCCAGGGTTGCTGGAAATAATTGCAAGGCTGTTGTTGAGGGTACTGGTTGATAGTTTGATCCTGTTGTCCCTGGTAGAGATGAGGACGCCGTTGCTCGAGGAGAAATGGCTGCTCCTGAGGCGCGTAGCTCTGCTGTCCGCCATATTGGACGCTGTTGTAGGTGGCGCAGGGGAGTCCTGGCAGCGTTTGCGTGACGCTCTGAGCGTTCGTCGGATAGGAGTACGAAATATTGTTCACGTTCTGATTCGACAAGGAGTTCTGAGGTTGCGTGGTGCCCTGGACGGTCCAATTTAGCCGGGTATTCGAAGGGGATGTGGTTTCCGGTTTTTTGTCAGGAGAGGCGCTCTTAACGCTCGCAGGCTTGCTCGAGCCGCCAGCTTTTGATATCTGCTCCTTCTTGTATTTCATCCGGCGATTCTGGAACCAGATCTTGATCTGCCGCTCCGTGAGGCACAGCGCCGACGCCATTTCGATTCGACGTGGACGACACAGGTAACGTCCGCAGTTAAACTCTTTCTCCAGCTCCACCAGTTGCACGCTCGAGTACGCTGTGCGGGAACGTTTACCGTTCGTCTGCTTTTTCTGAGACCCTGCAACAGAAAATTCATTTTCTTGTTAGGATACAGATAGTGGAGGAAAAATCGACGGAACGAATTCTTATCGATGATACATACTGATACATATGAACTTTTATTTTCTAAGATATTACTGGAGACATTGATCATTCGTAATTTGTTGCAATTTGATATAATTTGTTTTGTTTCTAACGATAAAGTCGAGAAACGAAGCAAGATTACTATATAAATCCTCAAATTCCTTTTCCCTCGAAAATTTCAGATTTTAAGGAATTTTTCAGTACCCAAAATATTCGAAGCACAAAGTTATTAAATAGAAATTATAAATGTTTAAGTTCTAGGTCTTCGGCCTTCGATTCCAATATTCAAGAAGCTTCCTAACATACATAAGAGTGTGTCAGACTCGTTAATCGATAGGATCGAAAATTAATCGAACTGGAAAATTATTAGTTCAAAATTACAAGATTATAAATTATAAAGATACTAACACGAGAAAATATCCAAATATAAAAATCCTAACGAAAGAAATAATTTGAACAATTTGCGATGGTAGGTAGAAAAGTTGGCGTGTAAATGAGTCGTTCGTAGAAGGTCGGCTGAGTTAAGAGTCTGGACAGGACGAAAACGAGATTTCCACCTGGAAACAGGAATCATCCGGAGGACGCGTCTGGGGAAGGTGTCAAGGGTCGCCCAGTGGGAAACTTGTCAGCTCACGAGGTGGCCTATGTTCCCGCTGTGCAGCTCAAAGGCATCGCGCTAAAGCCGTGTTATTGGATTAAATGATCCTGGCGTGAATTTACAAGCAAATACGATTCGTCAACGACGCCGATCAAACAAAGAGGACCGCCTAGCCCGTCGAGGACGCGAGGCTAGTGCGCGACAATTTGTCGATCGATGATTGATTTACGACGCTGCTGGCGCAACCTGACTCTGTCCGGGAAACCGTGAAAAACAGGAATAATCGAGGGGAAATGTCCTATGAAAATGAAACTATCCCCAGGAATCTCTATTTTCCACTTAAAATACAGAGCATAGGTTACAGCAAATATTTATTCATCGTCCATTTTTATACCTGATCGTCTCCTTAATATTGACAACTCTTTCCAATTTTCATTATTTCATCCTCAATCCTCTCTTTCCTCTTTCCCATCTTCTTTCTTTCGCTAATACCTCGTTTGAAACGCCTTTTCTTCCTAATACTGACCATTACGAGATATCGATCCTCGATGAAACTCATCCTCAGCGAAACTCGTCGTCAATGAACCTAAATAATAACCTATAAATATCACAAGCAAGTGTAATTGGACACAGTGACTCGTCGATGAAAACAATCCGAAATTATTTTTATTCCTCTCTACGGTATACTGGTAACAATTTTTATCCGTTTCGGAAAGATGTGGAGCAACAATTCGGTGACAGAAGATAGGAATTCGTGCATGCAGCTAGACACGTGTCGATGATTTCGGTATTTTTTCTTCGACCACAGATAAGACTATTGTGACACGCGAGCTGCGTGATTCCTCAGGCATTTCGGGGCGTATCGATGCCCCCAGGGGTGGAAGAAACGTTCGAGGAAACGTTATCGTCGGAAATGGACGCCCGATTTTCACATTCTGATCGACCCGCGGTAGCAGAAGCGCTGTGAAACCTGTGACGAAGTTGATAAGCGCTTTTATCTCCTCGTCGACACCATTGATAAGCTAATTTCATCGAAATTCTTGGGTCTCGGGCACTGAGAAACTTGGGAAATGTCATTGTGACGTGGAAATTGTGAAACGAGGAAAACGCCCCACCTCTAACTTGATCAAAATTTGACTGAAATACGAGTTTCTCCTGATTGGTAGCAAAGAATTAATTGAACTTAGCATGACCGGGAAAATAACAAGTCACAATGGGTGAAGAATCTTAGAAAGAAGGAACTTTGAAGAAGAAGGTATAGAAGATATTAAAGATAATATCGACGTTGGAAATTAATCTTGGATTCTGTTTTAACATTAAACTACAACTGGTCAACGTAATGGGAGAGTAATGGAAGAAATAAAAGAAACGTAAGATGAAGAAACAGGATAAAAAGAGACATAGCAGAAACCACTTCTTCCTGTTTCATCCTGGATAACATGGACTCATTCTTCAAGGGAGTCGATCGATAAAAATTAGTCAAATGACTTTGCCAAGTGATTGATTATTACCGATAGAGCAGTCGATACACGAATCTTGGCAGAGATCTGAAATAAATATTGCGAAATGGATGAAACTCGTGTCAAGATAAATATTCCTGTAATAATCTATGTGATACGTATATGAGTCAAGTCGCGAAGACCAAAATCGATAATGAGGAGTTAACGAAGACTTCGAAAATAATAATCTAGGCTATGACAGTTTAGCGTTGAGAACAATTAAGGAATTTTCAGTGAGACTCGCAGGATAAAGCCGAAGTACTTGAAGTGTATTCCGCGACCAATAAACGTGTCAGCACTGACCCAAGGATAGCAGTCCATCATCTGGTGACTCTGTTTTATGTAAACCTATGTAGAGCATCGACGAGCAAGCGGGACGAGAGCGCCGTTTTATAATCCCTCGAGACTAAAGTCTCCTAAATGGGCAGCTCGTTAATCAAACTTGATTCAATGATGTCTACGGGAACGTCTATTTGCCTAGAATCCGTGACGGCGGTGGACGTTCTTGTTTAACGTTGCCGTGTAATTTTAGCCACCGAATAAAAACGCTCTCGTACTTTTTCTTTTTTTTCTCTTTTTTTTTTTCTGCATACAGGATTAATTTTAGCTCCGCTCTAATTTCACTTCACTTTCTGACGTTTAGACAACGAGAACTTATTTCGAAAAATTCATTAAGCTTGGTACATCTTAATATCGCGGTATTACCTAATTACACCGAAATTTTTAATTCTGTCTTCGCTAAATTCTACCATTAATTTGTCGCAATATTTTAGAAGACTCGTTCAAATATTTTCCACGCGTGTATATTACGTATTGATTCTATACAATTCTCAATGTCTAAAGATTCTGACAGAATGCACTATTATGACGTTTTTATTGAAAGAATAGAGATTTTAAGTGATAAATAAATTCGATTAAACTGAGTAAAATAAGAAAGTGAATGAAAACTAACCTAGCATTACACTGACTAATAAATAAACTGTATTAAACCGTATCACGAAAAGAACGAAGAAATGTATTAAATAATTAACAACCACGGTAAACTAATCTAACGTAATTCGAACTAACGAATAATTTAATATTCGTTTAAACTAAACCAGAAATAAAATTTAGAGAAATATGAAAATTGAAATAAATACCTTGACCCGAGGATTGGTTCATATCCACGTTAACGTTTGATCGCTGCTCCTCCTTCTGTCCAATATGCTCTTCGCTCTTCCCAACTTCCGTGAACGATGCTCTCTGTTGTTTCCCGTTTATCCGCTTCTCGTTCCTGTCGATATTCCACGAATATTCCAGCTGCTCGTTGCACACCATGTTTCCGCCGTTTCGATATCCATATCCATTCCAGCTGGTCGTGGAAACCGAGGATCCGACACTCACAGGCGACAGAGGGAAGCTGGTGTCCTTCATGGGTTTGGTTAATGCTCGACTATGGGTGTTCTTAACGAAGTCAACTGTCATATTCTATCAACTGTCCGTTGGATCGCGACCGATTTTCCCGGCTGACTTGAAGGAACGTTCACCAGAGAAAGCGACAGGTTCAACGTACCAGGAGCTACTGATATGTCGTGCGCCTATTCCTCGCCAATTTGTAGGGCCTGCCGGGCCCAACATGGCCGACCAATCGCGATCGCTTTTCCGAAACCATAAACCCTTTTGTCCTACGAGGTTAGCTGGCCGCGACTTCGCTCTATGCACGAGTGCAATCGACCAACCAGCGATCAGGGCCCGATAACGCGAACCACTCAGGATTTCCCGAACCTCCATCCTCTGGCCAGAGAGCTTCCAACGGAATCGACCAAGCGAGACGACCTGTGCCGCTCACCTCTCGCTAATCCCTCGATCGTTCAAAGGCTGGCAGAAATTCGACCAAGATTTCCTGTGACACTGTACACGGTGTGACGGTGTACGCGTCTAGGATCATTTTAATTGCTGCAGGATAGAGATGAAAGGTCAGACGACTGAATGGACGCCATTGTTTCGAGGACGCTGGCGAGTCTCTGTCGTCTAGGCGGTTTCGTGGGTATTCATAGATACATTGAGTTCGAGAGAAACGTTACAATAGCTGATTGTGGATTTTCTATTCATTATTCGGTTGTCTATGAGACTCGCTTCTTGAAATTTTCCAGCTTCAGGAAATTTGGGGGGTTCGAAAGGGTTGGAGGGTGAAATTTAGGTTTCTAGTATGAGAGGATTCTTTGTTGGGTGAATTTAGGATTGGTGAGGGGACTAATGAAATTTTTTGAGGAAATTTGGTTACCGATTTTCGGTATTATTGTATCGAAAGCCTGTTGGTTTGTCTATTCGATCTAATACTTGTATTTTAGATAATATTTCGCGCAGATAAAATTATGCAAACCTGGACTCACGTTTTATTAAAGTTACAAGAAAAACTTGGAACAATTTGCGAAAACATAGACTTCATTTATTTAGCATAATTGTGGATTAAACAAACATTCTATGGAAAAAGAATGTTGTCATTATTGACTAATTTTTCTATATCCTGGAATTTCTCAGTTGAATATTAAGAATTCTTTAATTAACATCGAAATTTTTGTTCCAATTTCTGCTGTAAGTGTACTGTATGGACATTCGCTGGTACTATTATATTTAACCCTTTACCTGGAAATATGACGCACAATGCAGCCATTGCCTGTTGGCGTTCACGGAAAATCGATTAATACGCCGATACGTTTACGGTACACAACAATGCGAAACTTTCTTGGTAGTATTCCCAGCCACTTCACGCAGGCAAGTGATTCCTTTATTAGAGGGTTTCCTTGTGCTTATGGTCGACACGAATTCGTCGTTTCTAGAGACCATAGTCGTACGATATCGATGCAATGCGACTAATTAATTAAGAATGCTCTCAACTTCTCCTTACAACGGGAAAATATATAATAATCGATAATAATGGATTTTTGATCGATTATAGGAAATAAATAACATTAACAAATAATTATTATCTCACAGAAATCAATTTGGAAATTTGATTTAGACAAATCGAGTATATTCAAACATTTGCATATTTGTCTATAGTACATGACAGAATAATAGCACCTACCTAAATTATAACTTTCTTGCATAGTATAATAGAGATAGAAATTTCACCTATTTAAATGAAAAATGTCTGTCATCTGTAAGAAAAAATAAATCTAGAAAATTTTGTTATTCGAAAATGCGAATATTTTTAAAAAATTGGCTATCATATTAGACACAGGAAATAAATGAATAAACGATTAAGTAATTAAGCCTAGAAAACAACCTTTTCCCTATATTGTCCAATTAATAATCTATATCTACAATATCAAATTTGATCTATAACCATAATTTTCTTTTTTTACGATATACCTGCTCCGAAGTTACTCAAGAAACCCTAAAAATCACAGAGTGCTCCACCATTTTACCACACATTGTGCAGTAATGATCGTAAATTTCCGATTTACATGTAACCGATACTGCATTAATAATCCATCTATTTAATCCGATAATAATACTTCTTTCGTTAAGTACATGCGCTCCAATTTACAACGTACAGAAGCTTATAATAATCGGTTCTGGGAATACTTTAGACTCTAACAATCCTACAACGAACAATTAGCGAGCCGATTTTCACGGAACGAAAATTCCCTCGATCTCGGCCGATCGACAAATCGTCAAATACGACGTAACAAGTGCAAATCCTAATTATTTCTCTGTCTCGGATCTATTTTTATCAACGACTTGGAATAAATCCCAGCAGAGACAGCACGAAATCCGTTCACGGTCCAGCTTTCGAGACACCAAAGCGAGAAATTGATCAGCATCATTCCTCTCCTCTCCCTCTCTCCGACATCCAACGTTCCCTTTTTCTCTACCCCCTCTCCTCCCCTTCTATTTTCTCCTTTCTTCCCAGTTTTCCCTCCTCGTGGAATCAGCCATTCTCCTTCCGCGCTCAGAGCTGTCTGCAGGTCCGCGCCACCGGTTTTCCAACCCTCCGCGCCAATCCACCCCCTTTGGCCACCGCCTCCCACCGTTCCACCTCCTAGTCGACGAAGGAACGCTCTCTTTTTCCGCGCTCAACCGTTCCACAGACAAAGATCGCCCGAAGGAAAAAGAATATCGTGTTCTGCTCGCGAGTCGGGGGTGGACTCTGCGGGAAAAAACGCATTTTCCCGCTGTTTCTTTCGCTAATTCCCTTCTTACAGCCGAGTTTTTCCACCACGAATTTGCGCGTTTGTAGTTTACGCTGGATTTTCCCTGGGGGAAAAAATGGTTCTCGAGAAAACCGTGGTTGGAAGGGGTTCCGAAGGATTTTGGAAGTAACGTAGTCCGAATTTGAACGGATTGATTTTAATTTGCATATAAATTTGAAAAGGGTTTATGGGTTGTATATATCTGGATTGTAAGGCTCTCAATTTTTTAATGTTTAGATATTTGGTATATGAAGGGGAGAAGATAATGACTGGATACTGACCGAATAATGATTACATTTGTGAAATTTTTATAGGATAGAAAATAGGAATATTTAACTTTTGCTACGTTTTAATTCATTGCTCCCCTGGTAATTTTTCTACCGATTTAGAGCCTTCTGATATAATTTAATAACTTAAAAATGAAATGGTTGTTAAATATTAATTTTAAAAATTCTGTTTTACTATATAATAATGGCGTAATGATATACACTAAAATAACATTAATGTTACGACTGCCATGCATGCGGAAATGACTGATTTATCTTGCAGAAAGTCTATATAAAATCCTATATAGCACAAATGTTTCCATCACGCTATTTCTATTCTGAAGGAACATCGATGAGTGTCACCTCGAGTTATGACACACTAACAGCAAATCTGTCGATAAATCTAATATAGCCTAATTGTAAATATAACAATAAATAAATATTAAAAAAGAGAATATTCCTGATAACTCGCATTACTTCTATATTATATTCCCTATATTTCCCTAGAGACTGAATTTACCGTATTATTCGTTCGTCCAACATACTTCAACTATTATAACCTATGCCTACCATTACAACATATCCTAATTATACATTTCATATCAATAATTTCACCCTTGTCATACATCTCGTCAACGATGTTCAAAAAATAAACCAACATCCTGATATTTCCTAAACTCCTACTCAACGATATACAGCACAGATAATTCATAAATAAGCGGACTCTAATAACCAATAACCTTCAACTACAACCCCCATTTACGTAATCTTCTCTATCCCTATCCGCAGTGGCGAAATCCCGTTCGCGGAACAGGAAGGGCCTCGTTTCTCAAGAAACGAACGCGAAAAATCCTGCTACAATTACCAGGCGATTGCCCGGTCTCGGAAACGACTTTTGAAGAGCGGAGGGGCCAGGGGGGTAGGGATCGGCCTTTACGCAACGCCGGTTAATCCGGAACGGTGGAATTTTCCATTCGGTTGCATCCAGCTCGGGATAAACGCGGTTGGAAAAGTCAGAGGCTCAGAGCGGAGGACGTTAAAGGCTCGTCGTGGTTGTCGTTCCACGTAAGAGCCACGGAGGACGTAAACGCCTTATCAAGCCGGCGCTCTAATCCCTCGTTGGATCGCGCTTGTCTGCCGTGGCAGTCGTCGTAGACCGTCCTGGTAATTTATGGCGTTTTAACTTCCCTCCGCGGCGCAGATTAGTATGGAAAATCCTTCGTGTCGATCGCCGCGCGATTACGCCAGCCTCGATTTACGGCGAAATGTAGGCTAATATTGGCCCACTTCCGTTCCGCGTGTTGGCGGCCGCAGGGCCTTTGATCGAGCCAGATCGATCGTCCACTACGACGGGGTCGCGAACGTCCAGTTGGCAATTTTTTTTTTTTTTTTACCACGTCACGTAAATGTAGGTATCGATCACTGATTACAGTGTTGTGTTTTTGATTGATATCGTTTGGAACCATTTTTGGTTGGCTAATATATTTATAAGGGATGTAAGAATGATCGATCCGTGGTTGTTTCTGATGTAAGGATTTCGATACAGGGTGGAAATAATTTTTCTGGGAATACGATGGTAGAAGAGATATTATAACCCTTTGCACACGAGAGGTGAGCTTCAGTCACCATTCCATAAAATTTGGAAGATCGATGTTAATTAATATATCAAATTTAATGCAATGTAACAGTGCGCGAAGTATCGATGTCAAATAATTCTACAATTCTATTATTACGCAATTTTTTATTTACTGCTCAAAAAGGTATCGTCAATTTTTTAGTAGAGAATTTTTGAGTTTCTACTCTTCTCTAGCCAAAAAATCATCGAATGCAAAGGATTAAAAGAGACTTGTATCTTTTTATTCACTATGTAGAAGCTATTTTTATTCCAGCATGTAAATTAAATTATTGATCAGTGATTACAGCACACTGTATCTTTGATCCATATCGTTTGGAATAACTTTTGCTTCTTTAATATGTGTATATAAAGGATATTAAATTTTGGGTAACGAGAATAATTGAC